AAGTCTAGAAACAATACAAAACAAGGGGTGTTAAATATACTCTCACTTTTGTATTTGAACAGGACACTGCCTTTTTTGAAGACCCCCAAGTTTTTTGTTTCGTTTGGGGTAAGGATTTTTGGTTCAGTACCCTCTTCTCAAAGACCATCCTATTGAATTTTTAGTCAATTCAGGAAAAGTTTTAGTGGTGGTAAAGCCAGCTGATGTCATTTGAATAGTCTTGACTGAACTGGCCATGCTTTTGCATTTCTGAAAAGTTTTCTTGCCATTGTAATGTGCAAAACTGTCTCAAAAAAACTCTAGTCATACCTTTCCTAGCTATGTCTTGTAGCTGAGGATTCAAAATAGGGGAAATGAAAACAAAATAGCCCCTCTCCCAGAGTTTGTGTTCTTCCTCTGAAGACATAAATCACCCCAGAAATGTTTGATCAGGAAAACAGGTGAGCTGTGAATGTACATACTTTAATTGGTTTTTTTGCAAATGAGAGGTCATTGGAGTGAGATTACTTGTCAGTACATGGGCATCCTTCCATATATGTTGTCCATATATGTGTTTTCAGGACACATAACATAAGCATATAGCAATCCATAAAAAATGGTGGGTATGAGCTGGGGATTATGACAAAGGTAGTGCATAGCGTATTCTATGCCCTTTGCAACATGTGCTTGAGGCACTAAAAAGACAAGATGCAGGCACAATCTAAAGCATTTTTAGGGCTAAAGATGTCTCCAAAGTTAATATATGATACATTTATATGTGAATATGATCTGGATAGCAAGAAGTGGAAGCTTTCCAATAATCTTTCTTTCTTTGCTTAATAGTTTACCATTACCTTTATTTACACCAATTTCAACAATATACATGTCTCATGGTTACTTCTGTCTTTGTGCATTTCTCTGAAATGATGCTCCAGGTTTATTTCTATAGCTGAAAAGGCTGAATCAATTGGATTATAAAAATTCATTGTTCTGTGGCATATTCTACTCAGTAGCACTAAATAACAAAAACATGGTTGTTGAAGATTTTAAGTTGTGCCTTTTACGAACCTAGGAATGAAATATTACTACTGCTTGTATCTGTCTGGAAACATTTCTTTGTATTACCTTTGTTCAGCATGGGTGATTTTATTAGTAGTTCTTGACTTTTTTATTTTTTTATTATTTTTTTTTTAGTTTCAAGGAAAAAGTGAACTTCTGTGAACAAATTTAAGCTTGGTCCTCCCAGTCTGCAAGAGAGCAGGAACCATATGGTCACAATTAGTGTAGTTGTAAATGAGTAAATAAGTCCTGGTGACAGGCATGGCATATTTACAAAGTTTTGTTTGCCTTCCTAACCACAGTAGCACAGCTTCCTGTAAGAGTAGTGTGACTGTGTGTGGCTCTGCAAAAACCTGGATAGTGTTACTAGTTCTTGGTTTATGGTTATTTTTGACTTTTAATTCAATTTTTACTTTGAGTATCAACCATCAGTTTGAAACTAAATCTAAACTGGAGAAACGACTTTTATTTTTCCTCCAAACAAATGCTGATTAAATAAGTAATAAAATATGAGCAATGGTTTAAGAAAAAAAAACAAAACAAACCAAACACAACACTCCTGACTGAGCAAAACTAATCACTAATATAGTCAAGTATTATGTGCCCAAAGGCATATTTTTGTTACCTCATTTTAGCTGAATGCTTAGGGCATTCATTAATATATATGTTCTGTGTTGGTCTGCCACACATAAAAAGCTCTGTAATTTATCTGTAATTTAAGCTTTTTTGTCTCTGAAACTCTTTGGCTGTTGTAGTATTACAGATTCTAATTATGAAAGGAGCAGAGTATCTTTAAACTTAACTTTGTTTTGTGTTAAACGATGGAAATTTAACTAGATTTTAACTTGGTTGTATTTAAAGGTACTTAAAGACAGTTTAAACAACCATCACTGCTAAGGGTGGTTTTAGGAGATTGCTGGCTTACATACCTCAGCACTGGGCCATTGCACTTACTCTTTCAAAGGCTTTTGGTGTCATAGGTCGTAAGAGCTACCAGATTTTAATTTGGATCAACTGCCTCAAGTCTACAGCTCAGATTTTTCTGCAGCTGTGCTTTTAAAGATACGGGCTAGGGGTTTATGCTTTGTAGCCCTGAGAGGGTATAAGATTTCCTTTTTTGTGACGACAACTTTTTTTTCCCCGTCTTGTTTATTTAAACATACAGTTGTCTACACAGGGTGAGTGTCATACAACTGGAATACCTTCTACTGAAAAAATAGGGAAAAGATCTGTTGCAGTGAAAGCTAAAGCCATCATGGTGGAGAGGAGAGTGCACACAGAAGTTTGCCTGCCTTGATCTCCTTCAGGTGCTTTGAACTAAAGGCAACTTCCGCTTCCAGTTGGCTTCTTCAGTTAAAAATAATGAGTGGATTACTTAGTAAGCTATCATTCTGGTCATTGGATTCAGTGCTCTGGCCAAGTAAATGACCCTTCATATTGGACAATTTTTTCCAAAAAATGCAAAATCAAGCTCTGCACTATGTTTCAAAATTATAATCTATTCAGTTTCATAAAACTGAAGGATATTTTTCTTGGAGATCTAGCATAGCAAGTAGATGTTGGGGATGGCATGCTAAATAAAAAATAAAGTAATTACTCTTGCCAATGTGTTATGTACATACTTGAATGTCCTGGATTTCCTACTGCTTCATAAAAATTTAGGCCATCTGGATTTGGTTTTAGCTTTTGATCTCCTGCCCATGACCCTTACAATCACCCAAGCTATTTTTATGCAGTATGTAGTACCATTAGCTATCCAAGCTTGTGAGTCTTTTTCTTGCAGTAAGTCTAAGTATTCTCACACCACATATGTGTCTCCTCTACTTCAATTTTTGTTTAAACATGGATTTGTTATTGCGTTTAGTGCTCTGTATTTAATGGTTTGTGTTTCAGAAATGGTCTCCTCACCTGAAAGCTCTTACAAGATTTTACTTGAGAGTTTTTAATCTTTGTCATTCAATTGCAGAGGAACTTCAAAACTCTAGGACTGAAGAGCTGTTTGATTACTTTAAGCTTTATTGAACAATGTGACAAACTTTGGGACCTCTTTATTGTAATTCTATAGAAAAATAAAAGCTATTGTGTTTTTGTTATAGGCCAGATGGCAAGCCATTTCCTGTATCTTTCGCCTTCCCTAGCAATCTGTGTGACAAATTTATGCTCAGTCACAGAAGGGGCTATCTCAAATCTGTATGCTTCTGGTTTTCTTGGGTCAGCGTGTAATGTGGAACTGAACCTGATGTTTCTGATATGTAGCTCAAGAGGACTGTTGCTTACTAAGCCTGGTTCAGCTACACCTTCCAAATAATACATGTGGATGGGATTACTTCCCTTCACTTTCGATCATGTGTGGTGTATGACCCAGGGTTGTATGATGGGGATGAAGATCACATGGACGTGCAGGCTCATTCTGTGCTCCATGTATGCCTTAAGTGTGCTCTGTCTTCCGAATGTGTCACATGTGACAGAGGCAAAGATTATAGTGTTTTGTTTTCCCTGTATGGTAGTTTACTTACACAGTAGAAGGGTATGGGTTTTGTATGTAAACATGTTCCTATCACATTTCAGGAGCATAATGGTCAGAGCTGAAGAACTTTAGTCTGCACTTAGCAATTAATAACTCTGCTTTAATTGAATGGAGTTTGTTACTGGAAAGCAGTCTTTGCTTAAATCTCACATTAACACCAACTTGATCTCTTCCTATGACCATGTGACCCCCTTTCTCGATGAGGGGAAGGCTGTAGAC